GTGAGTCTTCCACGCACACTCTCACGCCGGGCGCCATGCCCTACACGTGCGAGTTCTGCGCAAGAACTTGCGCTTCAAAGGGCATCCTACGGTGAGTCTTTCCGCACACTCTCACGCAGGGCGCCATGCCTACACGTGCGGAGTTCTGCGGCAAAACTTCCGCTTCAAGGGCATCCTCACGGTGAGTCCTTCCACGCACACCTCTCACGCGGGCGCCATGCCCCGACACGTGCGGTTCTGCGGCAAGACTTCCGCTTCAAGGGCATCCTCACGGTAGTCTTTCACGCACACTCTCTCACGCGGGCGCCAGCCCCACACGTGCGAGTTCTGCGACAAGAACTTCCGCTTCAAGGGCATCCTCACGGTGAGTCCTTCCACGCACACTCTCACGCTGCGCCATGCCCACACGTGCGAGTTCTGCGGCAAGAACCGCTTCCGTAAGGGCATCCTCACGGTGAGTCCTTCACCGCACACTCTCACGCGGGCGCCTGCCCCCACACGTGCGAGTTCTGCGGCAAGAACTTCCGCTTCAAGGGCATCCTCACGGTGAGTCCTTCCACGCAGCCACTCCACGCGGGGCGCCATGCCCCACTACGTGCGAGACGTTCTGCGGCGCAGAACTTCCGCTTCAGGGCATCCTCACGGTGAGTCCCTTCCACGCACACTCTCACGCGGCGCCATGCCCCACACGTGCGATTCTGCGCAAGCAAACTTCCGCTTCAAGGGCATCCTCACGGTGGTCCTTCCACGCACACTCTCACGCGCGCACCGATGCCCCACACGTGCGAGTTCTGCTGGCAAGAACTTCCGCTTCAAGGGCATCCTCACGGTGAGTCCTTCCACGCACACTCTCACGCGGGCCGCCAATGCCCCCCCCCTCCCGCACACACACACACGTGCGAGTTCTGCGGTAAGAACGTCCGCTTCAAGGACATATTATGAAGGGGTGAAGTCCTTCCAAGCACACCCTCGCTATGAGGGTTATTTTACAAGAGATTGTGAGTGTTGAAACTTGTATCTGTGTTTGCTTAATGTATTGTGTTATTTTGTCTTTAATCAGAATAGGTGTGTTGATGTAAGAGCGGATTATCTTGCCAGTTTTTTCATTAACAATTAAGAATAAAATTCTTCAGACCAACACCCTCTCCACTTTGGCCGATTCTGTTTCTAAAGAATAATTATATTCCTATTACGTTTCTATGAAACAAATTTAATGATATTTCTTATGATTTTTCTATCATTGCAGAGTAAATTTCAGTTGTATTTTTTTTTAGGTTCATCGGAGACAGCATACTGGAGAACGTCCTTATAGTTGCGCAGAATGTCGCCGGGAATTCACCAACTGGGCCAATTATAATAAGCATATGAAGAGACGACACCGAAATCCTGATGATCCTAATGCAGCGAATAATAATCGTGTTACATCTACACGCAATTATCAGGTACATACTGAATAAGCATCATTGAGTATGATAATCATTTGTCCCAATGTAATGAATTAACACTCGAAATTAAAATAAAAATGATTGTAATATTTAGGTTGTTAGGTATTTTGTTGTATAAATAAATTGTAAAAGTCGACAAGGTTGATTCCTTCTCACATCAAATAGCTGTTTTCATTTATTTCAAATCAATGTATTATAGAATGTTCAAGTTTGTACTAAAATATTTGTTTATTTTTGTGTCAAAAACATTGTTTTCTAAAGTTAAAAAAAAAATTTCTTTGCATATGTTGACAGCCTCCATCAGGCATCCCTGCTGGTGCTGAGAACTCATTAAGAACTGTCCCACCTCCACAGACAGTCAATTCAATGTCTGCTGCTGTTGCATCTGTCTCTCCTATGGGAAATGCATACAGCCTGAATCCCCACAGTGCCATATGCGAAAACAGCAACAATAACAGCAATAGTTCGATGAGCCATATTACTATGTCTCCTCCTGTGGTTCCAATGGCGAATGCATCAACAGGCATTTACAGTGCTCAGAACCATGTCCCAAAGATGGCTACTATATATGGACCTCACCCCACAAGTGGTGGCATGAATCCTGGAGTCCCTAGCAAAATGCACTCACCAAGTTCTCTTTCTAGTGTTTTTCATAGTAGCTCATCAATTGTGGGAGGTTTTGGCAATAATGGACATAAAGTGCCAACAATTGGGAATGTTTTTCATGGAAACCACCAGCCAGACACTCAAGATTCGGTTGAGCGCAATATGGAAAGAACTCAGCCAAATAACCCTCTAATGGTTTCATACCATGTGCCCTCGTATGTATCCACTAGCTTGCCCATGGGCAGTATGGGTTATTACATCCCACCCATTCACCACACAGAGCCTAGCATTGACATGCTTCATAATCGTATGGGTAATGGCCAATTGCCAGGAAATTCATAGGATTGTTAAGGAAATTAAAGTACCAATGAATATTCTTGCTGCAGACTTTGAAGAGAAAGTGTGTTTAGTATATTTGTATTTGTGAGGTTGTGTCTATTTGATAAACATTTTGCTATGATATAAAAATCCATGTAGTGTACATTTACAACGAATTCAGTAGTAGATACATTTCAAATTCAGAAAAATGCTAGATCTTTCCTTAGAAATAGTATAATAATAGTGTGAATTGATACACAGTTCAAATGGCAACTGAAAGAAGATATTAATGTGTATTTATATCTTGAATACAAAATAGAAAAGTAGATATGTAGCACATATCATTTGAGATTATCATTATTCATATCCCATCTAATAGTATAAGAGACTCAGTTTTATATTAATTTTATCTTTTATTAGTAAATATTTGTTGAATTATTTTTATATGAATATATATGATATCAGCTACAGAAATGTTTTTAGTGGAAGATTTATTATTTTTTAATATCAGAATATTACAGAGTAATTTTTTATATAGATGTACTAAAATCTGATCTTATTTTTTTGTCAATTTCATATGTATAACAACTGCGAAGCATATATAAGAGAACGTGTTCTGGCTTCAGAGTATTTCCATTGTCTCTGGTGGTTGAACAAAAGCATGATCTATTTGGGCGATCTATCTAGGACGAACCCATATTGTAAAGCTTCCTTATTTTGAGACCGATTTTCTGCAGTTCCAGATTTAATTTAAATGTACGTGAGTACTGAAATTAAAAATGCGAGAGGTCAATACTAGTTAATTGTGAATCAAAGTTTCAATTAGTGTTTCATCATGCCAACACTCTGAAAGCTTTTGTACTATTTATTATTTTATTTCCAATAAAATTTGAATATAAAATGTGTGTAATGAACTAATAATCACCTAATAATCACATCAACAAAGATTTGAACTAATAATGAACTGAATTTTAAAAATGTGAATGTAATGAATGCTAAAGTATATAAATAGTATATGTATGTACTATTAGAAATTTGACAAAAAATAATAAATTTATTCTTAAAATTAAATTATGGTATGAAGCTTTCCTGTTCTGTTTCATGAAAACTAGGATGTGATAAAATATGCCCAGATTACTTTTGATGTATAGAGTAATCTCCGACTGACGGTTGTTTAAGGTCAAACAATTTTAATGTCCCATTGCTACACAAACTCCATGCTGCAGCAGTTCCATGTGTAACACTGAAGCCAGCACACTTTTTCTTCTATATGTTGTGGTAACAGGTTGAGATGTTTTGGCACGTGAGCAATGAACTCCTTTGAGAAAAAATCAGGATGTTAAAAATATTCTCAAACACACTACTTTTAAAATAAAAAACTTCAGATTGTCTTTTGTAGATTCTTATGTTGCTTGCCTTCATTACCTAATGTTACTGTGGTACATAATCAGAGTTGCCATCCAGAGTGTTACTGGAAGTTACATTACATTAGAACTTGGCTTTTAAATGGAAAAAGATGCAACTAGTATCTTGTGGGAAGTTATTTTATGTAAAAAGAAAGAAGAAGAAATAATTGTATTCAGTATCCCTCAGGAATATAGAAAGAACATTGTCGAAAAAATTATATGTTAGTAGAGATGCTTATTGTGTAACAATTTATATTTATCATTTACATTATGTATTTGTTCTTTAGAGGGTGGAGTAGAAAAGTTTCATGAGTTGTCAGACAAAATTTTGGACCAGCTGAAAGTAGAAGATTGTAAGATTGAAGGTAAAAGTTGGTCTAGATTGTCCCATACAAATTGGAACATGTCAGTTATCTCTATTCAGTGAAGCCCGCAGAAACAAACACCTTGATTAAGCAGTCACCTCCCGTAAAAACCGTTTTCTCCTAGAACCAATTGAGTTTGTGGTAAGACAAGGGGTAATATTCCCTCTTTTCAGTGACCACCTGGCTAAATGCCCAACAGCCAGGCACATTTTATCGATTAACTTATTAAGAGGTCACCTCAAGTGATTTTGATGTGTATTATGATAGGAAGTGGAAAAGTATTGGAGATGACTTGATTTAATACTGTCTGCGACAAGGTGCATTATAAGATTACATCGAGCAGGGTCATTCAGAGTAGCTGATCAAAGGCTGGGATTGATATCTATTTCAGGGAACAACTGATGATTTTAATGAAACATCAATACATTCTCTTCACCCATTTCACAGCAGTTCTAGCTAGCTCATGCGTCCTTTGCGTCGAAATCTAAAGAACTTGTGGAGCACATCATGTGTGTGAATCCGATTTGAAAGTTTGACTAAATCCTTTGTCAGTCGACCCTGTTGTAAAATTTCTACAGGATGTGAATTGCATCTTCAAGTCTAGTTTGCCCATTCAATTCAGTGAAGATGAATGCGAGTTTCTCAAATAAGACAATGTGTGACAAATCATGGGTATGTTTTAATATTGGTCAAGAGGAAGCAGATGATCCTAAATGCTACCTTATTTAAATTGTATATTGTCATTTTTTGTAACTACAAATGATAAAGAGAACATAGTTCATTTCTCAGCAATTAGCACATTTAGATTTGATTTATGCTTCTAGTACCCTTATAACCTTCATTAATGGCCAATTTTTGCCATGACTTCGTGATATTTTAAATCAGATTTCACGGTAATTAGCACCAAGAATGTTTCTTTGGAATTAAGAGAGGCAAGAGAGTGGTGTTGCACTGTTGCATGTCATCAGCTATCAACCATCTGAAGACTGGTTTGATTTTTACCAATTCAAGGAAGAAAATAAATTTTTCGTAGATAACAAAACTATTTATTTATTGCAATTAATTTAATTTAATTTATTTTACCAGTTTAAGGAGCTAAGCTCATCAATTGACCCTTAAAAGTATTTGGCATAAAATTTTGTCAGGTATTATGCATTACCCTGACTCCATGTTGTATAATATAAATTACAAAGGTCTGGGTTTCTCTGCCAGCTGTGAAAAGCGCCCAAGGGAAGCAAGTCAACACAGTCCCAGAATAACAACTTGGGAAATGGTAATACAGTAAAATCTCTCTAAGCCCGAATTGACCAGGACCAAAAACAATAACAAAACAAAAAATGGTTTAGGGAGGTTTCTGTTTCATGGAGGGTTGTCTATTTCACGACACTTGTGATATTGATATTTACGTTCTGAAACTAGTAAATATATGTCACTAAAGAATTAAAGTAAAGTAAAAATTATGTGATTTTATTATGATTATTAACATAGATTTACATATAACGTATTTATGGAAGAAATCACCAATAAATGAATATTAAACATACTTCATTGACAGCTTCTGAGTTTCTCTTGCTTGCAGAAATATGACATTTTCATCTAATATCAGCATTTTATGGTATTTGCATTGTTAAACTGTTTGAGAAACTCATGAAAATACACACCATCTCACTGCCTAATGGCTGCAATTGGACTGCTTGCTGACTTTAAATGCCCAATGCGTCACAGCCCACAGTACTATGGTTTTTGATATCCCTGCATGGCCTTGAGCAAGGAGTCTCTGGCTAAGGGGTTACAATTTTGAACGTGGGGTAGGGAGAAACGCGAAAAATCATACACCATCCTACGCTCAGAGTTGGAGGGGGGAGGGAATCTCCCTATGACCTACACCTTGAGAGAGAAGTTCAAATTCTACGCTATCAGCTGAAGACTCTTCTTAGTGCGGTTGCCGCGACTAAATCGCGTGGGAGAGAGAATTTAAAGCATTTGCAGATGCATTCACTACGAGTATTTCATACGAGTATTCATTTCGTATATTATGAATATTTTGTGTCTCCGCCAATTGCATCAATTGCACAAAAATTCCGTTTTATAAAAGAAATCATCCTATTAGAAAAATTTTTCTCCACAGAAAACCGCTTCCGCGTTGGACAGATTCCGTTTTGTGCTGTGTAAAATACTGTATAACTTAGCGAGCCAGATAAATTTCCCAGTTAAGGCAGGTTCCGATTTAGACAATTTTACTGTATTGAGTTTTAATTCTACAGAAAGAAATTACTGGTGCTAAAAAATGGCACAGACTGTTTCAAACTATTTAGTTCACTTGTACTCATTCTAGGCTATCGTGCGAAATCATCACAGCCACGTCTCACGAATCGTAATTATCGCGGAAAACGTACGAATAAATTTAATAAGTCTTTGCAAAGAGATCAGGTAGACATCATCAGACTTCATGATAATCATCATGGCCAAAAAGTGCCTTGTCGCTGCCGCCATGACTCAGTCCTTTTCATCTCTACATAGTTTTTAATTATAATTTAGATTTGAAGTTGATCTAAAATTTTCATTCTAGCCCGCCCTCTTCCTCTTTTTTCATCAATTTTACAGTTCACAATTGTGTTTAAGATTTGGTTATGCCTAAAAATGTGTACAAAGAATTTTGCATTCTTGTTTCAAATGGTTTTTAGTAGGGATCTCTTCTTTTTCACTTTTTTCTAAAATTACATTATTTGAATTTTTTCATTTCAGGAAACCTTATGTATTTTTCACCACAACACAAACTTCTAAACGACTCCTGTCTATTTGTAAGCATCCATCCTTCACACCCGTATAATAGGACACTCCAATTATACCTTTTCAGAAATTTCTTTCTAATATCCAAATTTAGGTTGGTATTTGCGAGCAAATTTATTTTATTTAGGAACCACTTCTTCGTTAGTGTAATTCGCATAATTTCCGTTGTGCTTTTATTGTCTTTGGTAAAAGTGCAGCCTAAATAGCAAAAGTTGTGTACGCGTTCTATTTCTGTTGTATCTAACATTATTTTATTTGATTTGTAGTTTTTCTCGTTCCCAAGTATCATGAATTTAGATTTCTTTATGTTGCTTTTGATGAGGAACCTTTGAAACCTTTTTGCAAGGCTATTTATCATTTTCTGTAATTTGTTTTTGAAGTAGCTAAGATTGCTATATCATCAGCATATGTTAAACAGTGTATTTCTAATATACCCGTATACCCTTTGTTTTTCTTTTAAAGTGTTGGATTGATTCTTATATAAACAAGTTGAATAAATGGGATGAAACGTAGCATCCTTGTTTTATTCCATTTCTGATCTTTGCTTTGTTCTCCTGGTTATTGATGGTTATACTTCTGTATTAATTTTTACAGAAATGCAGGATAATTCTTTGGTCCTTCCAGTCTAGGTGCATGCATTTCATGATCTGAAATACTCGTATTTTCCAGGGAACCTTGCCAAAAGATTTCTGCAAGTCTATGAATGCTACTTATGTGATCCTGTCCATATCCATTCTTCTGTCTCAGATGCTCCTGAGTGCAATAATGGGTTCTCTCGTACCTCTTCCAGACCTAAATATAAATTTATCTTCATCCAAATTTTGTTCAATTTTACCTTTTGTTTGGTTTTCGATTATTATGATGAGAATTTTGGCAGCATGGAATTACGGAAATTGTTCTATAATTTTCCATGAAGTTGTGTTTCCTTTTTTTATATATGGTAATGAATTTGCTTACTGCAAATTCTTCAGGTATTTGACCAGTCTCATAGCTTTTGCACATTAGTTTAAACATATTATCTTTCAGAGAGTGTCCACTTAATTTGATTAGTTCTGGCAATTCATCTGATCCTGTGACCTCTTGTCTTTGAGCTTCACTACCGCTTCTTCAAATTAATTTCGTAGTATCATTGGTCCCTTTTCATTTTCTGGTATATCAGCTTCATTTTCAATTTCTACATACTGTATAGTTTTTCTAATTGGTTTTTCCAGCAACCGATCATTTTTTTGTCTCCCCATACTAATTTTTCGATTTTGTCTCTCAGGCTGTGTTACTTTATCTTGGCTTTATATTCTATTGATTTAATTAACTGATATGCCGTATCTATTGTTCTGCATGTATGTTGTTTTCTATATTTTCACAGGTTTCTCCCATCCACCTCTCTTTTGCCTCTCTGCCTAATTCGTTTTGTTGGAACAAATTTCACACGAGACTGCCCGGAATTCAACGGAAAACGACTCCGGCCGTCCTCGGCGAAAGGCGAACGACTTCGCTCTTGAGCCACGAGATGACCTGATGTACTTGTAAACTAGTGGTGTTAAAACAGCACGTACTTTCTCGCCATTAGTACTGGTTATGTAATATATTTATATAACTAATACTAACATTATATATTTATACCACAACTTGTCCCAGAATTATTATTTTTTTTTGTGTAAAACTCATTTGAAATCGTTGAACGTTTAGTGCGAAAAATAAGCAAAATACGAGAAACTAAAATAATTCAAAAGTTAATAAATAATACGATACTCATAGTGTTGGCAAATAAATAGATCGAAAAATATAAAATAGTAAATATTGAACACTATGGTATTGTAATATTCTACAAATAGATGAAAGGATTCGTTTTTATTAGCGTGAATGAAAAGTAGCCGTCGTTACCGCCTTTTGTTATCTGTGCGGCGTCACTGCAATGGGTAATAACAACCAACAAAGACCACTCGTGTATTCGTTTTCACATTTAACACAATTAAGGGACGCAATTTAAAATGAAGTATCATAATATAAATAATATTAAAATGAAATATGAAATAATATGCCAATTCTAACTTACGTAGCATCCAACTGGTTCAAAACTTCCAAAATTACGACCTAGAACAGGATTTTTCAAAGCGGGCGACGAAAGTACTAATATTACGCCAATTACGACAAAAATACTAATATTTTCAAAAAAGTCAACATGACCCTCTTTGAGAATCTGTTTTTGGCAAACATGTTTCATTAAAAATGTGTCTTCATGTGTCATATATTCTTAAACGTCCTTCAGACATTTTATTAAAAAAAAAAAAAAAAAAAAAAAAAAAGAGCAGTTTTTGAGAAATAAATGTTTAAAGTAAAATTGCCTATATTTCAAATTTTCGAAAAGTTGTAAATGATCTTATTTCAAAATCTATATTTTAGAAACAAGTTTTGCTAAGAGTAAAAATCTCTATCTTTGATATTTTAGTTGCAGGAAGTTGCTGAAATAATTTTTTTTTTCGAAAAATCAAAAAAGTCAACCAACATGAGACTTGCGCCAATCTCTTAAACGCCCTTTACATTATCTAACAACAAAATTTAATAAAAGTCAATGGCGCAATTTAAAAAAATGAAAATGTTCCAGGGGCTTCATGTAAAGTACCGTCTAAATTAAAATATCGATTTTAAATTCAAGAGGTCGTGACATCAGGCAGATCAATAGGGGAATATTAATTTTGGAGAAAATAGTATGAGTGGTTTAGCCGTCGCTATAGCTGCTATTAACGGATTTTTGTAATATTGCGTTTACTAAGAGCTGTCAGTGGCGGGTTGTGCATATTCGCACGTTCAAATGTGCACGCCCAATTTAATTCGATGAATTTCCTCTTAAATGTCTCTAAACAAGAGGGAATTATAAGTCCTCTCACTGCGTTTCCGATACATGGAATTTGAAAACACGCGCCGTTCGGAATCAGCGATTGACTGTCCGGCGCCAGTCCCCTTCGTGAAAGCCAGCCGGTGCACACGTGGGCATGCTAACTAATAGGGCGCGGGGCTGGAACAGACACAGAGGGAACACAGAAGGAACAACAATGGCTTTATGGACGGAAGGAGCATTCGGCCGAGTGTCGCCTTGACATGCCTACAAGATACCCAGCTAGCTCAAGTTTGTAGGAGAAATAGTGTGACATTGAACGAAGGAAGTGTGAAATATCTCTCTATTGAAAAGAGCTCGCATCCCTTTCAATGAAATAGTTCTTCGCTAGCGCACGAGACCGGAACGCATTGCTGTGCAGTGTTGCATCTATAAGACTTAATTTAATATTATAAGCACATTCTCACATGATTTGCAACTTCAAATCTACAGTCTATAATCTATCAGTTATTGTGGAGCAGAGAACAGTACAATAGGGAAATAGTTCGGGCTGAGATCAAGTAAATTTCAGTAAGGAATTTGGAACAGTGCGAGCGCGAGCTACGCGTATGCACGAAATATATGTGTGTGTGTGTGTGTGTATATATATATATATATATATATATATATATATATATATATATATATATATATATATATATATATATTGTGTCGAACGCGAGCGACTACGTTCGTCCCACACATCAAGAAAACGCCAGTGATAGACTGGGTGAGCGAGCACAGCGCGGTTTGAAAAGGGCGCGCAAGCAGCCTACAATGCTGTTGCGCGCCATGTCCGGAGCAGGGCCCAGGAATATAACGTAGCAGCAGTCAGCTGGAGAGGGGGAGATGACACGCACTACCCCCACACGGAGGGCGCGTGCATAGAAAGGCGAGCCCGCAGTCAGCCACTCTTTTTCGTTCCTGATCTTGGAGCCAGCAGCACTCCTTCCAGTGCTTGACCGCCGATCCGACATCAACTACGCCGAGTTACTAGGTAGCCATCCGCGAATTTTGTTAGAATTTTCTGGAAGATAATTTTTCTTAAAAGGGAGTTGTCTATGATCTATCAGTTATTGTGGAGGATGTGTGTGTGTGTGTGTGTGCGCGCGCGCGCGCGTGCGCGTGCGCGTGCGCGTGCGCGTGTGCGTGTGTGTAACAATAGATTTTCTTGATTTTGTACATGATTTGTTCTTTCATTTTCTTTATCAATTAAAATTTCACTATAAAATCCATGTAACTGCACATGTGTTTGTAAATGATCTGGAGATGAAAAATATTTATTTGAATAAGGAACAAAGGGATTTTATTTTATAATGAAACCATTTATGTGCATCAAAATATTTTATTCAATTTATTCTAAAACAATTATTTCTGTACAATAATTGATGTTTATTGGATAATGTATAGTAGAGAACTGCTTGTGTATGAAAATAACATTTCTATAGATGTATCCCTGAGATTCTTAATTGTACATAGTAATGATGAAACATTACAAGAAGCTATTTTATAGATGTTTAGTGATACTGGTTGGTAACATTTTTACCCTGATTTAAAATATGCAAATGGTATTTTACTGTACGATTTCTTTAAAATATGACTAAATAAGCTAATCTGAGGGTAGGAAATCGTCTTCAAAAACATTTGTTTTAAATTATATTAATCACTAAAGAAGTACGGAAACAATGCCTAGGACATTGAAATTTAGATTACAAGTTTATGGTACTGAGGTAACAAAATATTAGTTACACTTGTGCCACATTATGAATATGGAAAATATATAAAAAGTAAATAAATACTGTGTTGACACTACAAGAAGTTTTAGATAGAAGATGAAGGTATAGATTTCATTCTTCTAAAACTTTTTAAAGTTCACTTGATTAATTTTTAACTGCCCAACAAAAAAGTACAGATTCTGTGTTTGGAAATAAGATACGGAGGAATATTTGCATTGTAGTGCACTGAGATTCTCAACTAAAAAATATGAAGAACTAAGGTACTACATTTAATTTCTCACTTACATTTATGAAACTGACTCGGATCTATGAATAGAGATTCCTTGGCATAATATTTCCAATTATCTTTGATAACCAGTCTTATTTATCATTATTTGCTAAATGATACCTTCTTAATAAATGCATTTTTATTTTCTCACACACTCTTGACTACCAAAACTTCAATCATAATTATAAAAATGAAATTTTCAATAAAAATTAAAACACAGAAGTTTATGTTGAACAGTCACATGAACATTAGTTGCTTTCTCATGACATACATTTAGGATTATTCATTCTAACCCATAAGAATGCACATAGAGATACCAGAGTTTAGTAATTACAACAGTGAAATGAAAGTATCCTATAATCTAAAAAAACTAAATTACATTCTTGTACTTTTCTAGAAAAAAATGGTTTATTATATATTTGTTTGAGGTAGTTTCTCAATGGTAGTCTTTCATATAGGAACCTTAGTATTGTCAGGCAATGAAATGCTCCCTTACATTACAGCATAACCATTCTGCATTCATAAACAGAGAATGAAAATCTAAAACTGTATTAAATGTACTTGAGAGAATTAAAATTAACTGACTTCAGTTAAAGATTACTATCACTTATATCTGAAACTGCATAAATAACTAAATATTCTATCAGCATTTTCATGATACATTATCAGGCATTTGTAATATTTTGTAAAAGGCCTCAAGATTAGTGTGCTCTCCAGACATTAGAATAATTTTACTCAGTTTATCAAACACAGCATATAATAAAAATTTACAATTTGTTTTACATTGGAAAGATCAGCAACCTTAACATGAACAATGAGTGTATTTTATATATATATATACACACACACACACACACAAAATTAGTAGAACACTTATCAATGGTTTCTTATAAAATAATGAGAAAACCATCATCTATCCTTTAGTGTAATATACATAACAATAAGTGTTCTACTTATCAGATACCAAATGTTCTAATTATCATTTTGTGGACAGATAATTACTTCCTACTCCTGCATCAGAGATATTTAAGATGAAAAATATTAAAGTTTACTATGACATTGAGACCATATTACCACAAAACTTTTTATAATTGTGCATAACTTAAAAAAACAGCTTGTCCTAGGCCTGATGTCCCCCAGGTGGGAACGGCTGGAGAAATGGTGAGACACAATGGTGAGGCCCCAAGTTACGTTTCTTAAGCAGTATTCTATAAAATGAGTCCATATTTAACCTTGTGTTACACTTTTGGAGATTTAGCTCTTCTGGGATTCAAGATACAAGCAGCCACTCAGAATGTATGTAAAATTAACTTCAAAGATTAGAGACAGAAATAATATTTCATGAAATAATTGAAGCGATTTGATTTTTGGTGAAATTTAATTTCAACACCTAGTAATTTTTAAATGTTAAATCAGGCATGATTCACGACTAATAATGTTCTAACGTATAGATCATGAGCTGGCCATCCAATACAAAGCTCTAAAGCTCTACTTTTAAAACTATGATTTATAAGGTTCGCAAGGGTTACGCTAGTATTATTTGAACAAATTATTAATATCTGGAGAGCAAATATGAGAAGGATCATATTTCCCTTCATATTTTCACAAATCTCTTTCACATATATAGCATGAAACAAAATAGCACTGATCAATACTTTAGCAAAATACTTGGTCCACCAAATTCAATATGAATTGTGTTTTAAAGAACTCGAGTAAGTTCCTTCAAACTGTACTTTCAAGTTGACAGAAATCCAATAATGAAACATAAATGTCAGTTTTTTAACATGAACAATGACGTATTTGTCTTGCAAGCTAAAAAGGCTTTCTTAAGAACAAACATGATCATTATAAATAATAAATAGTCTCCATACAAATATATTGATAATTTCTTGGCCTTTTTCTTAGTCTTATCCCACAAAAGATATCCAAAAAATCAATTCAATTGAATTGCGCTTTATTTTCTCTGTTCTTAAATTTATTACCTGTACCTGAGTGTGTGTCATAATAAAAGGATGTAGGGTACTGCTGATGGCATAGACATAACACTGTACCTGTACATAACTGACCTTTTAGTAACTTAGCTGGCAAGCCTGTTAGTTATTGGAAATACATTGAACCAGTCTCTAAGGGTAATATTAAATTCTTTGAAAATTTGTGGTTGATAATAGCATCTTAGGAACATTTACCGTTATAACTATTCAGAATATACCAGCAAAAAAGTATGATTTTTTTATTGTGAGAGGTAAAATAAGAAATGTTTCTTACTGCACCTGTCAAATATAGAAGAAATTATGGAATTCTCTCATATTGTTATCAGAAATGATCCAGGCTAGTCCCTTAGCTTTACTACTTCATGAAAATTTGATCTTTTTACAGGATTTTCAAAAATACAAACAGTAGAAGGTCCCTACAAATAAACTGTGCAAGTAATATTGCCAAACCACTGAGGAAATATTAGCTGACCCAAAGTCTCATATGTGAAGTGCATTTGGGAGTCACTAATCAGCTAATAGGCTTGCATAAGAATTAATATTCCATTGTAGAACATCATTCAAAAAATATTTCAGTAATGTTCTCTGCATTATGGAGGCACGTAGTGGTAAACTGTCCTTCCTATTTTGGCAAATACACAAATTCTCAGTGATAGTTGGTATGTCCTTACTGGCTAAGTACTGATACACTCTTGCACCTATCTTATCAAATCATTACCCAAGACCAGACCCGTTTCACAGCACAACATTGTACAACTTCAAAAATCAATTTCTGACAATACCAGTTGTCTTTTGTATGAAACAATACCTTGGACAAAATAGTAGATTATATACATATATACTATTGTAAAGAACATTATTTTGAGCAACTGTAGGAAAATGAGAATCAATTTTGTTAAAATATCACTTCATACAATTAATCATGTTATTTTCAGAAAGAGATTTTTTTTCATGTACATAGAGCCTTATATTGCAAGCTTTATATAAGTCTGACATCCTACACAATGAGAGAAAGAGAGAAATGAATTTCAAAGCTGAAGGAAAATACAAAATATGAACTGACTGAAGAATGTGTAAAATATTGTTGAATGGGAGATAAGAATGTGCAGTTCAATTGAAAACACAGAATTGTGAATTGAAATAATAATAATAATAATAATAATAATAATAATAATAATAATAATAATAATAATAATAATAAAATATAATAACAATAATCATAATAATAATAAAATCATTATTAATCCAGTCATTGTGTCTAGTTGACGAATTTACTCTCATTGTGAAGGACGTCAAAGTATTTCTAAAATATAATGTACATCATTTGTTAAAAATATCGTAGATGTAGTTTTGCTCCAAATTCATTGCACATATTACTCCAAAAGATGTTGTTTTAAGAAAAAAAAATCTGTTGAATATTAAAAAATTAAATTCCATTTGTAGACATATTTGAAACATTTTTTCATAACATTGGTTTCCATGTTATGAAAAATAATTTAAAATATTCTTTGGTTCAACAATTTATAAAAAACAATCATATATCTTAAAATAAATAAATACTAGGATGTTATATTTCTCATCCCTTTTAGTTTCATTTCTACAGACAGACTTATTGCCCGTCGGGGTTCACGTCTATACATTTGAAAAAGAGAAAAATAATATACTCCCATTTTGTTTCGTAGTTGTTTCTTGGTGCGTGCCTTTGTACTTGAGAGAGAGAGAGAGAGCGTGCGTCGGGGCGTCCCTTGCGTCTCGGGAGCTGTTGTGCTGCGGATCGTGGCTCGTTAGCTTGTGCGCCGATTTGAAGGCGCTGCTGGGCGCGGGCCGCGGGGAGGTTACTCGCCGCTGCCTTCGGGCGCCGGGCTGGGGGAGGGGGGCCCCTCGCCCTCCGCGTCGCCCTCCGCGGAGCCCGCGCCCGCGCCCGCCCCCGCCTTCCGGGCGCGCTCGGGGCGCGTGGGGCAGTCGGCGATGAGGTGCTCCTCCGACTTGCAGTGGTGGCAGCGCTTCGGTTGCGGGCCCATGCTGCACTTGGCAGCGATGTGGTTCGCGAATTCGCCACAGTTGTAGCACCTGCGAACAAGAACCAAGTTGGTCAAGATGGCGCATTAGGCGGGGAGGGGGCTGCCTCCACTCGCAGTGAGATTTTCGATGACGGTCCAATGACCATCATCTTATCCGACAGGAAACTCTTTCGGCAGAAATCGTATCGAACATTACAAAAGCGCAAGGCCGAAGGGAAAAGTAATAAAATGGAACCAAGACGAAATTGAGAGTACTGTGTGCTTACAGATAACACACACTGGGAAACTTCGCTAGAATTGGCTGCACGTAATTCTATTGTCTTTTTTAAACGTCGGTTTGATATAGACTATGTAAATACCAAAAAATCCATGATTGTTTATTTTTCAATAGAGGCCCTTTTCTGGCCTCGGGAGATCGCTTAACGGGCCGCGGATTGCCGACCCCTGGTCTACACCATAGTCCTTCCAAAATCTCTTCGCGCGTCAGGCGACCGAGTGCAATCTGAGCGATTAATTGAGGATTTCAATCACTACTCCTGGAACAATGTTATAAGCACCTAGGTGGGGACACGGAACAAATGGCCAAACGTTTAAAGAACCAAAATTGGTCTATGCGAAGTTCGGGGAGTGTGAGGGGGCACTTCACCACCTCCCTAATAGGAGCGGAGGGTAGCGCCAGAGGCTCTGGTAGAAATTTAGATATCGTTGAAAAAAGGAAACTAAATAATTAGATTGAAGATAGTGCGATTCTGTAGCACAAATATTTAACGTCTTGTATATGAGTGTATATACAGAAGAATATGCATCGTATGGAGAAAGTTATGTAATGTTGCGGAAAATCGATTCCGAGATTTATACAATACGAACGGAAATACACGTTTTGGGGTCCTGAAGAAGTGTTTCAGAATTACATTTCCTCCCATCCGTCTGTGCTAGCGCCTAATCTATTCGTAGGATTTTCACCACATGAATATTTCCCGGTCTATCTGACCCGACTCAAAACACTGATATTTTAAATTTCAAATTTTTTTTTGAATTTCCGGCTTTTAAAATTATCCCAAAAGTGGTTCCAAATTCTTTCTTTTAATTCTTTGTAAGAATGGAGTGAAATACATTAAAAAAGACGACATAGGAATTTTACTGTTAACTCAGAATTTTCGGAAATTGAAGATTTTGAATTTTTTGGGTCCCTCTCGTACAACTACATTATTAAAGGTAGAGATGTTTCCTTCAAATAAAACTTGTTCATCACTATTAGTACATTAATTAATGCCGTGTAAATTTTTGAACATTTTGTTTTTAACATAATTTTGAGTGAAGTACCAAATTAAATCACGTTTTCTCAAAAAACATCTCATATATTTTTATTTTCACGTGTACGTACGTATATGCGGAATAATATACGTAGAATAAAGTTATGAAATGATGAGGCAACAAACGGCGATATTTCAAGGGATAAACTCCGTTGTTGGGGCCTTGATCAAGAAAAAGTGGATAAATCGTGTTCCAATATGCAGTAAATGACTTCCTCTAACACTGTGTGTAGACAGATTTCACGATTTGTGGGTCCTTCATACCGAAATATTGTTGTTCGGCAAAACATCAGTCCGCTTGTCTGTCAGTCTGTTTGTCCGTCCATATGTGAACAACGCTAGTGCCTAAACTATTCGTAGGATATTTTTCCAAAATGAATATTCCCCGGTTGATCTAGACCAACTCGCAGCTCAGCGATTTTGAAAAACATTCCTTACATTTTGCGGGTACTTTATATGAAGCCCAAGAGACATTTCCAAAATGTTCTAAAAAATACTAAAACGTTTCTCTTACGTTTCTTGTCGTAATAAAGTAAAATACGTTTATAAAAATGACATAGATCTGATTTTCATTGCTAACTCTGGATTCTCAGAAATTATAAAAGTTGATTTTTTCCAATATTTCTTCCTATAACTACAATATTTAAGATAGAGATTTTTTCTTCAAATTAAACTTTATCTCCGGAATTAGTTCTTTTATTAACGTTATGTCAATTTTCCGAAAATTTTAGCAGTTTGCGTGCTATGCTGAGTGAAATGGGCATTATTAAAAATTATTAAACAAACTGTTATCAAAACCGACTTATACGGCTTGTAACTGATGTAACTCAGTACTTCTGACCGGAAGGTCCGAGGGTTCGCGTCCCGACTACGGCACCAGGAATTTCAACACCACCTACATAGCTAGGTCGAGTAATACACCACCTGGAGGAAAATTCTAGGGGCCGGCTGCTCTGATCGGAAGTTTTCCGTGGTTTCTACCATCTACACAATGCGAATCCCAGAGCAGGACCCTAACAAACCGGCCAGTGATCGTGCGCAATCTTTTCTTCCTCTTCCTTACCCTATCTTAACCCCTTACATTCGCACACTTACACTACAAGCACTACACTGCCACACATGTCAGGAGCTTAGTGCATGTCCCCGCTTAAGCAGTGCCCCAATGGTGGAGGTACCTAGTTGGGGAAAGCCATCTAGCCGACGTGTGGGTCGGCGCCGAATCTCGTCATGCGTGGAGGACCAGCGCCCCCTACCGCTATATAAACACGCACTAGACTCACGCGACTAATGACCTTAGCAGTTGAAACGCTCGGAAACATGAAATAATTAATTTTCTCCAAGCCAGCTCCAATTGTTTCGTGGTGGTCTCTTGGAGTTGTTTTTTTCCAGTGACCGTGTATTTTCTTACGAGTGTCTGGAGATGTGGAATGATCGAGCACAGAAACGAGTAGCTGATCTCCATTCTTCTGTTGTGCTCAATTTTACATTTTTTTCCTGGGTAAAATTAAGTTGCACGACGTTGGAAAATTATATTTGGTTAAACCGTAAGTGTTCACAACTATTTTAGAAATTTTTGAAATCTTGTTTTGGATACAAATACATGACGTGAAATGGTTTTCTATTCAAAGCAAGCAGAATACGAACAAATGAAATAAGTGCCTATATTCACTAAGGGATATTGACTTTACTTTTTCGCACTTACTTTGCAAGAAGAGAAAGTGTGTAAATGTGCGCCCGAAAAGGGCTAATTTTCGGTAGAAAATCTCTCATTGCTGGGACCTGATAACGAAAAGTGAGTAAATCCTGTTTTATAAATAGACAATATTTTCCTCTAACAAGTGGTATTGCCAGAATACATGTTTTGTAGGTCCTTGATACCGAAAAATCGATTGACGGCAAAACTGTCTGTGCGAGGTCAACGCTAGCGCTTAAGCCGGTATTCTCCACAACGGACATTCCCCGATCGATCTGAACGAACACGAGGCTTTAGGCGTTTTAACAGGATATTTTGATTTTTCGATGTTACTTTAAATAAAGCCTCAAAGGCATTTCTAAATTTTTCCCAAAAATGGCTCCAATTTTTTTGATTAAACGTTTTCCTGTGATAGCGTAAAGGACGCTTAAGAGAATGTTGGAGGTCACATGTGTGTAGAAATCTCAGATTTTTCGAAAATTGCAAAGTGAAATTTTTTGGAGGCCTCTTGCCACAACGATAATATTAAAGATTTAGATTTTTCCTCTTAATATAATCAATTTCTTGAAGACAATTTGAAGTAAAGTCATGTACAATTTTTCAAAAATATTGTACTTTTCTCTATATCTGTCACACATTATTTTTCCTTTGAAAGATACATATTATGACACTACTACACGGTGCTACTTGCAAACTTTGTAAGTTCAGGCGTGCTTACATAACGATTTCAATATTTCTTACATTCCCAAGGAAATTTTTCCCTTAAAGAAAACAGTAGTGTACAAGTCAGTTGAACTGTATTAAATTTGGCATTTCATGGTTTTAAAAAGATTTGCCAGTCTTAAATCATACTTGAGGGGGTGCATTAGTCAATAGTAATGTCTGGGAAAGACGTTATCACCTGGAATCTTGATTAATGAAATTCATTAGTTCCATTACAGATTTAACCTTTTTATTTTAAAAAAAATGATTATGTGCAGATAGAACTATTAACACTGTTCAAAAGTTTAAGATAAAATGAAATTAATATCGCAGAGTAGTACAGAATAGAAGTAGAATTACTTTTTAATGCGTATATCCAACCATATCGGTTACTCGTTGTTTCATAAAAGTGCAGAGATACTTTTATTTTAAGGTCGCCTAATAACATTGAATAACATGACAAACATAAAAAAATTGATGTATTTATTTAAGTTTCCAAAAATTGCACAATGTGTTTTTTAAATACTTCTCAATTGTTAATATTACCGGCTATTAATACCTTCGATTTGTATACATTACTAGTAGATCCTGCAATGCTTTGCTACATATTAGACACTGCTGATCATGTGATTGTTAATCGTGATTTACGCTACACAGTGCAAATAATCTAATAAATGAAAGAATCGTTAAAATGTTCTCCCTCAAATTTGGGCATGCGTTCGATATAGCACTATCTTGGAGAAAAATATGATTTATTGGCCAAGATTCAAGTAATAATTCTGGCTGATATTTTACAATCGCAGGGACAGAATACTTGTTCGCAGTGAAGAGTTGCTTAATCCTTGACTGTGCGGCGGGTTGCATATAGTTCAGGGGCGCTTGAGTCATAAGCGAATAAATCATCAGCTACGCCCCCGTCCGATTAAATTCAAACAACTGTTTAAATACCCCTATTACAAATAATAACAAAGCGTCTATGTGTGACACACATCCGGACATTCTCATTTATATATATATATATATATTATATATATAGCTACCCTATATATTTAATATACACTAATACTATATATATATATATATATTGTTAGATATAAATTAGATTTGTCAGTAGAAGTGCTTCACACAAAATTGCACTTTTCTGAAACGCTCAAACGATATTTTCTTAACCCTTCGATGCACGGATGTCAACTTTTGCGATTTTCCACTTAGTGGGCCTTCGAAGCCCAGTCTGTATAAAGCACTATTTTGGGGCCGGGATTAAGAAGTAATTTTTATTATTAAATAAACTTATATTTTAAACTTTCAACGTATAAAAAGTAATTTTACACATTTTATTTG